CCAGAAAGCCAAAATAAATGAACCCTATAACTAAATCAAGTTGAAAGATTGACTTATTGCTATAAAAAGAATCGAAAATCACCTTGTGCAGAACTGGTTATATGAGACCTTGTGATCCTTCTCACAAAAATAGTGAATCTGCAACACAACAGACGCTTTATAACATGATTAAATAGTGTAAAAGTGGATAATAGAAAAAGCAGAGTACGCTGAATGGAAAAACAGCCTAGGGTTTATCATATTACCTTTAGAGAGTCTCCGACTAGCTTCTCCTTCTCATCCAGTATTGATTTTATAATAACCCAGGATCTTAATCGTCTCTTTGGGAGAAATAATTCAATCGCTCGCCAAATCGCCCGCCAATTTGCTGATTCCATTGGATTTATCCCGCCAAATCTCCCCAAATTCTAGCGACAACCACGTTTAAAGTACTTCCCCCAAAAACCTCCGACTCGGGCGTGATATGAGAAAGAAAGAAGAGAGGAACGGATAGAGAAGGGAAGTAGTTTTAGGTTTCTTCCAATGCTACGCGAGATATGTGGTTGGGATGACTAATGAGGAGATAATGATTTTATTTGATATTTTCTATTAATGATTCAATTTATGTTTTCTATTAATTCCCTTATTTTCCCCTTTGGTTTCGTCTCTTGCGGAACTAGGGATGGGCCAAAGCAATGTACTATATTTCTGTAAGAAAAAGTAGAATAAATGTTTTCTATTGTATTGTATTTCTCTCTTAATTTAATCTATGTATTCCTTCACAAGTAGATTAAAATTTCTTTAATACCTTAAAATATAACTTCAACGAGGTCACAACTACAACGAATATCGACATCGTCTCGAGTACAAATGTCGTAATTATCTTGAAATATAACTCCGTTTAAAGTACTTGTATTCCTGAAAAGGGAAGGTAAACTTATTCCCAAAACCCCGTATATCCAAAAATAATTCATTTTTTGAAAATACTCTCCTACTAAAAATTGTAGTCCTTAAAAAGTTATGCGAAATCAAAAAACAAATTCATGATTTTCGGATTGTGGAGCACAAAGTTATGGTCGTTCAAAGTTTGACGAAATCGAAAAAAGGCTCGTTCGGGGTAGCAAACGACGTTTTTTCGGACGAAAGCGGGGCCTCGGCGGTTTGCGGCTTGCAAGATCTCAAAAAATTATGCGGAATCAAAAAAAATTTCCCATTATGATAACGCCACCTTTCCCATTAATTGTTTCTTTTCAAAGGGATTAATGAACGTAATAAATTCTGAGGAACAAATTTCACTGACGCGTTACTGGCTGTCGCAATCCAAAGAATGAACATAGTGACGAGGATTCAGATTTTACCGACGAGGAATAGCCTTTGTCACAAATATATTTTTTTACGACGAAACATTACGAACGAACAAATGATATTCATCACAAATAACCATGGCGCCAATTTTCCCTCCAAAAATTAGACTTAGTGCCAAAAATTCATCTTTTTTACCGACAAGATACAACCTTCGTCACAAATACATAAAATTTTGACAAAACATTATTGACGAGAGTGTAACGTCATCCCTAAAAGTATTCTTTGCGATGAATTTGACCTGCCCTCGCTAAAGGTTGTCACTAATGCCTGTCTTTTCCGACGACATGTAGGCTTTGTCACAAAAGCAATGTTTTGACGGAACATTACTGACGACCAGATTTTATTCGTAGCAGATAACCATGGCGCCAATTTTCCCCTCCAAAAATTAGATTTAGTGACAAAGATTATTGTCTTTATCGACGACGTCTATGCTTTGTCGCAAATACATAACTTGTTGACGGAATATAATTGACGAAAGTGGAATATCGTGCCTAAAAGTCACTTTTAGCGACAAAATTGACCCATCATCGCTAATTTTTGTCACTAATGACCCGTTTTTTTGTAGTGCGAGTACGCCTCCCCTAAACTCATGTTTCAGTCACCTCGATCTAGGCTATCGTATATGGGTCTTTAAACTTATGGCTCATTTCAATGGACACTATCCACTGTCCACACCGAGGTTTCATCCCGGCTTCCATCTAGGAAGGCTACCTATAGCAGGGGTTCGATCGCCTCGACCACTATAGGCCCTCATGCACACATCTAACATAAACTCACCACCTGACGCATACCCGTCTAACCCTAGAACTCCTTACCCAGCGCGGTAGCATAAAGTAGGCTAAGAGGGAAAATCAGGCGACTTACCCAAGCGTCATCATTTAGGAAAGAGTGACATTAAAAATCAACTAGACAAATACATTCATTCATTCAAACCCTAAAATATCCATACATACATAATAAACCCTAAAACTAGGGTTTGGGGTTTAGAACCCCTAGTACCTTAGAGGACTACTCCATAAAGGAGGGAAGAAGATACATGGTAGAAATAGAAGAAGACTTGAGGTATAAGATGCCTCCTTGCTCCAAGCTTCTCCTTCTCTTCTTCTCCCTTAAGCTTCTCTCTCTCTTCTCTCTCTCTATAACCATAAATTTCACCCAAAATCAGCTCATTTGAAAAGGGGGAAGGGGGTCCTCTATTTATAGGCAACTTGGATTCAGGGAAGTTCGTGGCCTGAGGCAGGGAGATCGGTATTATGACCATTTGATTTATGATAACGTGATACATTTAAGTGCATGTGTTCACTTGTTCAATCATGGAATGCTATCCAAGTATAGGATAAAGGAGTCTATAAGAAGGCAACCACACCAAAGAGGGCGGCATAGCGAAAATATTAGGAGATTTGCGCATTTATCGAACATGGGATATTCCACTTTATATTGTTTTCATTACCGTAAAGAAAATAATGATAGTAAAGAAAATTTTATGTACGATTGTTCATGGAAGTATACTTTTTTAAGCTTAACTTAACCCGAGGAGAAAGAAAAATAAACGGAGAAAGCCTTTGTGTATCCAAGCCAAAACCTAACAAGTAATCAATGAAACGAAGGGGAAAAGAAAACTGAAAACACACTTTTCTTTTCGGCTCATTTCGTAATTAATGAAGTATTGAGAGTATTTATGGTGAAATTACGAATTATCACTAGGTATAAATTAGATAGTTCTAACAGCATACATGGAAGGATTGTGTCTAATTCGATCCCTTTTAATCAAAATGATTCATAACTCGTGCATGGAATGATGGAATTATGAAAATCCAAAAGGTTTCTTTATGTATGGATCGGTTTGATTGTGAGTTAGCTTTGGAAATTTACATATCAAAATTCTTTTCCAATACTTTTTCTTCATTTGCGAGAAAGTTTACATAGAGATTGATCCTCTAACTTTAACCCTAAAGCTGCATACTCTTTACTAGCATTTTGCCCGGCCCATTGGCCGGGTTGTGGTTGTTCCATTTATGGGTTGCGTCCCACTTTGTTTTCTTTTCTTCCGTTTGGTTTTGATTTTGCAGTCGTTAGTAACAATTTTGTGTTTAACATTGGATCCATTTGATGTCAAGTGGCAATTCCAGTGTGTTCTGTATTTGTTAACCATGTAGAAAATACCATTTCTTATTCCCCATTATTCCAACAATGAGAAGTAAAGTCATCTAAACCATCACACTGTTGCTTTTATTTTCCCTATCAGAGTGTAACTCGTATTTCTTGAAGTTGAATTGGGAAGGGTCCTTCTTGTAGTCATAGGCCTCTGATGCTCACTTGGTCTTCTTGTTGGGTTTCTTATTTTTGGTTGGTTTTTTGTCTGAAGCAGGTTTCCTTTTGGCTATTTTCTTGAGGTTGGCTAGCGGAATGTGGTCGCTATTTTCTTCCTCATTGTCGTTGATGATAGCCTTGTCACAAGTGGGTCTGTGTTGTCAGATGCATTGACTGGAGTTTGAGAACGTTGTTCTGGCAGCGCAGTAGCTTGGTCATTTGATTTTGTTGCTGAAGTTGAGGCGTTCACAGTTGTTGCATTTGGGGGCAGCTGGATCATCATTTGAGGGAAGAAGTTATTTTGTGTTAGATAATCATATGTATTTGAAACCTGAGGAATCATAATTACTTGGAATGAGTCAGCTTACCGCTAATGGATCATGCACTATTTGCACTATTGTATATTGAGTTAAAGTGTTGCTTCTATTGTACTCCTTGCCTTTGACGTTGAATTCGAGGTTCATCCCCACAAGAGTTTGTAAATGTTTTGGGGGTGTGCCTTTATCCTTCCCATTTTGTTTGTAGAGTGCATCTGCTTTGACAGCCAAGAAGCGACTGCCTTCGCCTTCTAGGAGTACGAAAACAGCTTCCCCCGTGTTGTCCTTGACATGAAGCTTTACTCTGTATCTGCAGAAGTTAAACATTTTACCGTGGGTAAGAATCTGATATTTGCAATTGACTGTAATGTTTATGAAGATGTAAGTTGAGCTCTTACTTTGCCACGACATTGCTTGATGTGTTGTTGCAGTTGCCGCAGTAGTACTGGTTTGAATCTTCCTCCACTTTGTAAGGGCATACCGCACAACCCATATAGCACCAGCCTTGTTGCACGTCAACAACGTCACACTTGAGAGAGTATATATGGTTCTAGTAAATGAATGAACATGAGATTAGTATGTATTATGTAACTGATTGACATAGTGTAAATGGACGTAGTGGAAAGCCATACCTGGTTTTCGATCTATTGACCGAGATTCAACAGTTGTTGTATGGTGACTTTTGGGATTTCTGGTGGTTCCTCTTCCTCAGCAAGTACAGGGTAGTTGATGTCTGGGTTCCTGAAATTGTGAGTATATATAACTTGTTTGTTATGCTGTCCAACAGCAGCAACTATGTCATCAAATTGTTGTATTATTCTTCCCCAAAGAGTCACTTTGACAATCTTCCCGCTGTCGTGAAACGAAAAATCATATCAGCCATGGATGGAGTGTAGGAATGAATCAACTGTTAACAACTTAAGTTAGATAAAAGGGATGTAGTAGAGGACGCAATCAATTTGATCTTTATATCCTTTCTTGCTGATTTCCTTGTGTCGGTTGATTTGTTTTTTGAGGCTGTATAATCCATTAGCTGTCCGATGACATCTGCAAGTCATATGCAAAAATTAAAGCATGTTTTCAGTATGAGGTGATGGTAGTTGCTATAATATTTAATGGGTTGCTTGGTACCCCTGGCAAATAACGCCTCTGATCACAACGGCTGTGTATCTCTCTTTCTTTGATGAAGTCGAAATGGTATGCTGGAATCGGCAGGATGTTTTCCACAACTTCTTCAACAATTGTGGTAGGCGTAAAGTGAATCAGGAGGCGATTAAGCACGAGCCTATACTGCAGTGATTGTGGTGCGAGAATGACCTTGAAATCTTTGAATATGTACACCTGTTGCTCTTTCAGCTTTGGTTGGAAAGTTTTTATCAGGTCCTCTGAGATCTGTACCCATATTGTATCTCCCTAAATTTCCAAACGATGGGCGTTATAGATTAGTGGTTTTCTGTTGAAATTTGAAAAAAGCCAAATTGAACGCTTGCAATTAAAATACTTGTGCATCGAGTATGACCAAATCCAAATGTAGAGTTTCATTAGTGTTTGGATTGATGGCGAGCCACATTCTGGAAACACGAAATTGAATATTCCAAGCTCGTTTTTGCACCGACAAATCTCTGATGGAGTTGAGCTCCAATGGTTGTGCGTCCAGTGCCATTCTTGAAGATGCAGGTATTTTGTGTGTTTTACTTTCTGGGTTTTTGTGTGGTTGCTGAAATGACGTGTTTCTTCTGAGGTGCTTTGCCTTTTATATGTGTATGATTTGAGGCATGGTAAGAAAAATTGATGGGTCTTCTGGTATTCCATGAGATTCCGTTGTTGGGAAATTGTTGCTTGACTTCAATGTGGGAGGTAGAACAATTGTAACTTGACGATTATGTTGTCTTTTGGGTTGGCTTTCATGATTGACGATGAGTAGTAGTAATTGTTATCTGTAACGGTGGAAAAAGAGGGGTGGTGAATTGATGAAGCTGATTTCGGGTTTGGGCAGTCGATTGGCCGTGGGGTTTTGTGGAGAATAAGCTCCTCGGCTGATGCTTGACATAGTTAGGTATTATTCCTTTTGGATTTGGGGTGTAGGTGTGGTCTGGGTGTTTTCATTTGGTTTGTGGGCCCATTAATTATTCAAAGTTCATATTTAAAGTAAAGACGGTGTGATTTATTGATTGTGTTTATGTGATGTACGAAGGCCAATTCGCATATTCGGGCCGGTTTCTCGATACCTATTTATTGTGTCGTAGAAGGTCTGGTTAAGTTCGGGAAATTTATTGGAGAACACGGGTCGGTGTAGATTGGGTTATATGTGTATGTAATTTTAAAGGATAATATTTGTAATATTCATATTTTCATTTTAAACCAAAGAAACAAATAATAATATAATAAATGTAGTTAATATTTGTAATATTCATTTAAAGCCATAGAAATAAACTATAATATGCTTTTTGATCTTATGCTTTTTGATCTGACTCTTCTCATGCTCTTGGTTGGTGCCTTGGTGATGTATGTTTTGTCTCTTTTCGCTTCTACATTTACTTCCTGTAGTCACAATAGGACTACTGCTTTATTGAGTCACAATATCCTTTGATGTGCAGTTCGACTATTTGTAGATTTTCGTGGTGGTTGTGTACAAATCTTGGAGTAGTTAATTATAATATGATAAATGTAGTTAACTTTTTATTGAAGTTGCGTTTCTCAATTTTTTTATGATTTCATTATATCTAAAATAAGAGTTTGCAAAGGTAAAACAGGTAATGTGTAATGGTTATTTCCTTGAGGTACATCCAAGTACGCGTGCACTCTAGTGGGGGGCACATTTTTCATCTTATTAGTAGGTATAGTTACTGTATGACATATTATAACTCATCTTTGGTGGCGGGATTGGCTTCGCCAGTAATATGAGACTCTTTTATACACTTTTAGTATACACTATGCAGTTATGTCATAAAAAAGGCTTATTTTGTAGCAATATAATTCCAAGTCCAAACAAATGCAATTCCAATTCCAACGTCAACATGGCATGAAAGTGGCGCATAAGAAAATACGTGTGGGAAAGAAAATACGGAAGTGTACAATTTGGTCTCATTTTTCAGGCAATGCTATGATTCTTCATCCGGCGTGCTTATGAGAGATAGCAGCACACTCCAATACTTTGAAAGTTGAGCTTATGAGGGATAAATGCATAATAATACCTATAGCAGTTAAAAAATCGAAGTAAGATCTTTTGAACCTGACCATGGTTTATGAGTAGTGAAAGGGTTGCTGGGTGTTTTGTCAGATAAAAAAAGAAAAAATACCTTTGTATATGTATCCTCCTCAAGCTCCACTGTTCCTGCTTGACATCATACATGTGCAAAGGGGAGTTCCAACAGTTAATCAAATATCTCACGGTACACTATATTTTGCATTGTCTTCAATTCAGAGCCATCATTGTAACAACTAACAACTTTGATTCCCTGCTTTGATGTAACTCTTGATAGTGCCACATATAACTGTCCATGACAGAAGACTTGTTTCTGCAGGCACAAACCTACTCGGTGCAAAGTTTGTCCTTGACTTTTATTTATTGTCATGGCAAAACATAATGCAATCGGAAATTGTCTTCTCACCAGAGTCAAGTTGATGCTTGCAATATGTTGACAATGAGATTCGAGGTAGGAATACTCGCTCACCAATATGTGTTCCTGTCAATATTTCAACTTCAATGAACCAAGTCCCCAAATTCTTGGTTATCATTCTTGTCCCATTGCATAGGCCTGTGCTTTGGTCTAAGTTCCTTAGTAAAATAACAGGAGCTCCTACTTTCAGCTTTAATTCATGATAAGGAAAGTTGCCAATCTTGAGGGAGTTTAAAAACTCGGTAGAATAATCAGAATCTATGACACCTTCTATGGTCGGATCCATCCCAACAGAATCAGAATGAAGTACGATACCTCTTCCCCAGGAAACCTATCAAGTAAATATGAATTTATTGAAGAAACCATGTCATGGTGAGGAGCTAATATAGCTCGCTCAATCAAGTAAAGAGGATCATTATGCAGAGCAGTGAGGTCTTCATATACAGTGTTCACCACATCTGAAATTGTAACAACCTTACACCATTGACACGTCACTAGCAATCATTTCATATACCGAATAAAAACATGTGGAGAGTTCAGTTCTGCCATCCACCTCACGACAACCGACTTGTTTTCTTTTATCACGATCCCTTTGAATCTGGGGAAAAAATATTGACGGGGGTGAGACGTACGTCACTCAATGAGTAAACAATAACCTAATACAAACATCAATACCAAAATAGTAACGAGTGATGTTGTACCACCGAAGTACTTCTCCTATCATCCATGACACATTCATATCACTTACCATACTGTAACAACCGACAAACATAGTCATTTTCAAGCATGGTCTCACAACACATGTCATATACCACATCACAGATCGATCACGACACAAGAGATTTCATTCGATAACACACACATCTATTCATTTCATCATGCACTCCAATATCATATCAATATAGTAAACGCATAGAAAACCATCACATAACTATATCATCCACATGCACATTTTGTATATCAGATCATAGGAAGTCATTACATGATCTCATCATAGGAAATCCTTATACAAGGACTCAATCACATCACGGTTAGGTTGATTCAGTGGCCTTTTACTTCATTAGCTTGTCAAATCATACACTCTTCCAAGATATAGGAATAGGGATTAGCACTGGTTCTAATAAAACCTATCACTGCGGAATGTATTTCAGCCCGGTGCCATTATACCACTGCGGGACGTACCCAGCCCAGTCTCATCATATCACATACCACCGCAGAACGAATCACCGTCCGGTGTCATCATACCATGTTCTCCCTTTTCCCATATCTTGTGTTGAGTGTATAACAAGGCAAGCATTATGTTTGGTTTAGGTGACCATGCAATAACATTTCCATGTATGCCATAAGGCCAATCAATTCCCCTTTCATATACAGATAGTATACTTTTAACCATCTTCTGACCTTTCTCATTCATGTGCCTTATAGGCCATTTCCATATTCTAGTCAGGCACTTTCATTCTAGGCAAGGTATCTTGCCTATCATTTCACTTTAGCACCTCAAATGTTACTCCTTGTTTCATGTACCCGATATCTCATTTTATATCACATCGTCATAGCCCATATATCATACCGAAAACCATCATGCAATATATTATACAATACATGTCACATACCAACATGATCATTCAAGTAAGTATGCGCACATGCAAGTCATCATCCATTTTCATACAAACAACACTATGATATCACACGAATCAAACAATACTAACTTACCCTGTACTCGAGTCACTTCATGACCCGAATACTATAATCGCATTAATATAAGCATTAGGTTAAGATTTACTCACTACTCAATTATTGCCTTTGGTTCTTGTCGTTGTTCCATCTTGCTCCATTCCCCCTTTTAAGAGTTCACATACACAATTTGATTTCAGTATATAGAGCTCATAAGTTTGTGTCCATAAATGATAATCGTATAACCTAATTAGAGTATATAATCCTAAAAAAAACCCAACTAATTTTATAATAAGAAGTCCAATTAATTTTTCTTCCGTACCCACGTTAACTCCTTTCCTCCCCATCTTTCTCCACTTTAATTAAATATAATTAAGGGTGAAAAATTGGTCAATGCTTCCATTCTCCATCATAATCCATAATTAGCAGGTGTCTAGAAGTGATTCACCACACCAACCTTAACCATGCAAGCTTTCACACACAAGAACCAGGACATGTTTATTTTAAGGGAAATTGAATGCTCAACATAGCCGCCACTTGCATGTGTGGCCTTGCATTAACATACACGTCCTTGTAATTAACACTTAATACAATTATATTATCACAAACAGTAACATGGATAATTATGCATGCAAAACGTTGTGTAACCTAATTTCCTTCCCTTCATATTATTACCACTCGACCAGCCAATACCATCAAGCAAGTTAGAGGGAATACCTTGTATAATTCGTGAATTGCTTACTAATCCACACCATGCTACGACTCCCCTAACATCAGTAGTGAAGAGAAATACTAGAGGGTGATGATTTTGCTGGTATTTTAGATGGCAAAAGAGAAAGCATAATCATAAGCGATTCACTCACTATCTCCCAAGAGAGCATCATACTGGCTCTCTTACTCTCCAGAACCACCATTTTATCACTCTGCTTCAGAAAAGAATGGATATAGTTATCCATGCCACTTCCTATTCCCTCTTATAACACTAAATCTCTACAAGTAAAAGTGGCCACGTGGTTGGTCTTGGAAATGAATTGGGAATGGGGTCTTGCATGCAAAGGATGGAGGTGGCAGAGTGAATTAAAAGAGATGGACACTAGGCCAAATAAGCCTTGTTCCATATCTTCGGTTAGTGGAATTTTCTAGGTGAAATGGGAGTGAGTTTGAGCAGACATTTATTATAATTAGTATCCGACAACGTAAGAATCAAACATGGAATGGGTTTAATAAGTTTAGCTCATTTTAAAAAAAATTCCATAATAACTTATCGACTGGACCGCTAATAGTAATCTTAACAATTTAACCTTCTATTAGTATTCGACATTGTCTTACACAACGCATATGTCACGACTAAAAGGTTGAGGGTGTGACA